CTCAGGTCCTTCAGCATACTCCAACTAGTGAGGTGTTTGAAACGAGATATCAAGAGCCCTCAAAAAATAAGCGTCACTTGTTATCTACCGTGAAGACATACACGTGACTGCGTTTTTTCAGTGTTTCGTTTTACTTTTTAAGGAATTTAGTTGTAGTGTAAATTAAACAATGCTGCTGTACGTGAATTAGTTATTAGACGATAAAAAAAAATACAAAAGCTGCCTTTATCAGCATTAATTCATTAGTGCTAACTAATGAATATTTAAATGTCAGTTGTAGACTAAGTTGTAAGACACTAGAGCCTAATTTTTATTTATTTGATTCGATTAAAATGCGCACTTGGCACACTATGAACACCAAGAGATGAACAACACCGAATTACATAGTTTGTGTGACGGTTGAGGTACTGTTGCAAGACAGGATGAAGTACGTGCTTTTTTAAGGCACCACTCCTTGCCGACCCTTTGAATTGAAGTCTAGTTCACAAGGGAGTAGAACAGTGTAAAGAACTATGTTCCCATGGTTTCCAGGTTCACACACCATTGGATCTGTTCGAATTCTAGAGCCCATGTTCTTCATGCGTTTGGCATCAGGGTTTTTCAGCTGCCCTAGATAGATCTGCATATCAATCAGTACAGTTGTAAGCTCCAGACGTTCTCATTCTCCCTTTTACCTTTATGAGGAACACCTATGTCAAATGATAAAGACTTCCTTGGAAGAGACTACACACGCGTGGTCACATGAGAGCATTTCAAGAGAAAGACGGATGTCTACCCAACCCCGGCTGTGCAGGTCGTGTATAAGGATTCGAATCCAATTCACAAGAAGCTGTTGAATCAAATTTTATGTTCATTGTTCGGTTTAAAGAATTTAAACCATTATGTCGGAAACCGCATTACTAAATAGTACTTCGTAACCTCTAAAGACACCTTTGTCTTCAACCTCAGCTGATGAATGGCAGCAAGTACAAATGTTAAATCACAATGAAGCTCTTATCGATTAATATTATACCCTAAAGTAAAAGATATTTGTTTTCATAAATTTACAGTATATAGATACCCCCTAGGATGTTTGTTATTCGTTGTATGGATGAGAAGTGTTTCTATGGCGAGTAATTGTTTGTATTTGGTGTAAGAAATAAAATATTATTTTACCCTCTCAGTATGCTTGTTGTATACTCAACTTTATATTCTAATCATTATTAGTTTGTATCTTTCAAACTTATTAAGAATATTTTATGTTATAATGGCTTGCTAAAATACTACTTTTATCAATCAAAATAAAATAATGTAAACATTTACGATGCTTTTGTAATGTTTGCTGATTTCTTTCTGGATGTAGTCCGGAACTAATGCATGCCGGAAAGTACTCTGCTTCTGAGTTCAATTTTTATTTCAGTAATGTCGTAATTTGCTGTAATGTTGTCGTTCGTAATCTGAGCTTAAAATTATAAACTGCTTTTCAATTACTTTTAGGCCACTCGTTATAATTATAATTCAGAAGAACGATTTGCTATGATTGAAATAATCAGTATGATCAAATCTGTTCAAACACAACTTTTGCGTTTGGAGGCTTGTTACTCAGAGGCTATTGGACGTTCTGTATATCGTGAATTACAAGCAGTTGTTGTTGGTCAGTTGACTGCTCCATTGCTTAAAGCACAGAAGAAAAAGGAGCGAATCATGCTGACACGTTTGATACACGCGATTCAAGCCACATGTGCTGATCAGGTAATATACATGCATATCATGATTTGTAGCTGCTTAGTACTCATTTTAAAAATCAAAATCTTTTTGTACATTTTGTTGTTGTTGGTAAAGTGTGACATTCGACTCTATCTGTTGAGAGGTTCTATGCAACATATGATTGGATAGTTAGTGGTTAGTGAGGCTTTGTAATGAGGATTGATGGCGGTCATGGATGGTATTTGTCAGAGGGGTAAACCGTGGATAAAGCATTTGATAAGCCCTGTAAATCGCTTGATAAAATTGTAAAACTGTCACTATTAATCGGAATTTAGACCAGGTGTACCTACCTAAAGTTCATGTACCATCTAAATTAAAAGCCAGAATGAAAGAAGACTTATTGTACTGACAGCAGTATAGTATTTGTGAATTACGTTATAAGGGTCTATTATCAAACTGGAAATGAAGATTATTTAACTTAGGCGACATCTTGGAGTTGGTTTCGGTGGTGCTAATCTACTTATTCTTTGACTTTTTGGGGATCCAGTTGCTCTGAACTTCTTGCTCATCTTCGCCTGTTTCTTTCCACCTTTCTTGTGTTGTTCTTTAACCATTATTTACAAAATTATTTTTATTCCCTTAGGTTCTGAGTGTAATATAGTGTTTAGGCACTGTCTGTCTGTCTGTCTGTCTGTCTGGATTCAACATAGGACTTGCCACCGAAGTGCACCAGTTCGAGTTACCACGTTGCAAATAGCACACAGAGGTAGACGAGAAGATGAGTGAAGAGAATCAATAGAGTTTGACAAGTATAAGAGTGAAACAGAATGGGTAATGGTAGAAAGGAATATGAAAGATTACAGAGACTGAATACATCTGCACCACTGACAACGACTTTGAGCCATGTCACATATTGTCTCCAGCCATTGATTCCTAGAGTCCCGAGGGCCCCAACCCGGAAGTCTGCATCTCCCTACCTGACTCAGTTTAACTGTCAAGGATTTCATGGATTGATGCCATGTTTTTGTTTGGCCACCACTGGCTCTTTTCCAACCTGAACCTATATCAGCTAGCAAAGCCCGTCGGGGGAGGCGGTGGTTAGGCATGCGCAGCACGTGACCTAGCCATCTTAGTCTATGTAACTTTATAGCCTCGTCGATTGATTTTCCCTCTTTGCCCAACACTCTACGCCTAACATCAACATTACTTATCTTGTGAAACCACCTAACGTGAGACAGAGATCGCAGACATCTATGATCGAAAGCAGTCAACCTTTTCATGTCTTCAACTCGTATTGGCCATGTTTCAGAGCCATAGAGAAGGATGGAGCGAACTGTTGAGCAGTACACACGTCCCTTGGTTGATAGCCGAATGTCACGCCTACGCCAGAGGTGGTGTAAGTCACCGAAAGCAGCTCGAGCCTTTTGGATCCGTGCTGAGATTTCGTCGCCAATCAATCCATTGGTGCTAATACAACTTCCCAAATAGGTGAAGTGGTCAACATGTTCTATCACTTCACTCCCTATCACTAAGCTAGGAGTTGACGTAGTTCAGTCCTGTAGCAGCATCTTACATTTTACATGGGTGAATCACATGCCAAACATACGAAGATTGCTGCTCAAGGTGTTCAGAAGACTCTGCATTTTGTCAGCATCCTTCCCTAACAGGACTATGTCATCTGCATATTCTAAGTCCATAAGACTATTCCCGGGTAACAAGTCGATTCCTAAGTCGTTACGTTCAGTTAAGGATACTTCCATCAGCATATCTATGATGAAGTTAAACAGAATGGGGAAAGTGGACATCCCTGTCGGACACCACTGGTTGTTATCAATTCAGATGACAACTCCCCATAAGCCCTTACACGACTATATGAGTTTGAATAGAGTGCCTTGATTAGTGTTTTTTCTTTTTTTGTATATATATATATATATATATATATATATATATATATATATATATTTGTATTAGGATTAGCTGTGTGCCTCATACAGCCTCGCTCTTTCTATCGCACCCTGTCCACTCTTCTTAGCCACAGTTGGCTACGATGCTGTCCTAAAATAATAGGTGACTTTGTGACTTTGGAAAGCCAGGCAGGATTTAGGCGAGGAATAGGTTGCATTGGTTCTATCTTCACTTTTGGACAAATTCCTGTGTCCAACATTTGCCATATTCCTTAACCTGAAGGCAGAATATTGACTCTGTCGACCGGAAGGTTTTGTGGCAGTGTTTAACCGAGAAAGTGTATCGATCTAATCGAGGAGTTGGACTGGAACTCATGAAAGCGTGTAAAACCGTATGGAGAGTTGTCATTTGAAGTGATGACAAGTAGGTGTTGTCTGTGATAGGACGAAACAGCTATCCAGTACTCCCTGCAGGTTTCCAAATGGTTCTCTAACCGATGTCAGCTCATGATGAAATCCTATAAGAGATCCACCAAAGTTAGTTTAAGCCACTCACGTCGTAAGGTGTACACGTCCTTACTGGTTGGTATCCTTGAGATACTAAAAACCAGTGAATGGTATCTGGAGACAATCGGTAATATGGCTTAAAATCTTAGCGGTCAACGGCTGGCGGAGAGTCATTTCACTCTTTAGGATTTGTCACGTCCAATAAAATTATATTGTTCCTCCATATTAGTATTCATTTTTCCTCATTCACATTTCTGTTTATTATCTCTCTTGTCTTTTGTGGTACATGGAAAGAGTGTACCGACTCGAACTACTGTATATCTATATACCATCTACAGGCCGCGTGTGACCGGCCTCAAGCAGTTGTCCCCTGGGCTCTGCGGTCACGCAACCAACTTCCACGGTGTGGGCAGCCTGGAAGTAACAATCGCCCTCACAATCCGAAATGTACACAAAACCTCTCTAATCCTCACTTATCTTTGTCTTCATCTTCATCTCTATTACCTTGCCTTCCACTGATGCAACTCCTCTACTTGATGGCTCCTCACTCCCTCTTCACTCTGTGTCCACTAAAAACGACGGAAGCCAAAAAACATGGCTCAAAATCGTTGTCAATGGCCAGCGCAGATGTATTCAGTCTCTGTAATCTTTCATATTCCTTTCTACCATTACCCATTCTGTTTCACTCTTATACTTGTCAAACTCTATTGATTCTCTTCACTCATCTTCTCGTCTACCTCTGTGTGCTATTCGGAACGTGGCAACTCGAACTGCTGCACTTCGGTGCCAAGTTCTACGTTGAATCCAGACCAGAGAGAGAGAGAGAGAGATTAGTGCAATATACTTTCTTGGCACTCCCTTCACAGTCAGACATTGCCATAGTACCTTTCGATCCACGGAGTCAAAGAGATGGAGAAAGCTTCGAGGATAGGTAACACCAGGAAACTATTTAGACTCATCAGGGAAACGGGTGGGAGAAGACAAATCATTAGTGGAACAATCTCGGAAAAAAATGGCACTATAATTAGCTCCCAAGATAGACGACTGGATCGTTGGAAAGAGCATTATGAGGAGCAGTTTAATTTGCCCACAGCCACGCTCAACCTTCCGAGCATCCAACACCTCCCTGAATGGGATATAGACACAGGTCCTCCATCCCTAACTGAGGTTACTAAAGCTGTCACCAATCTGAAACTAGGCAAAGCAGAGGGACCTGATGGAATGACTCCAGAGGTATTTAAGTACGGTGGAGACAGCTTACTGTCCGGATTAACTGAGGTACTAGGCAGCGTCTGGGAATCAGAAGAAGTCCCATCGGGTTGGTGTAAGTCACTGATTATCCCCATATGCAAGGAGGGAGACAAGTCTTCCTGTGATAATCACAGAGGGATTAGCTTGACTAATATAGTATCTAAAGTCTTAGGCTCAATAATCATGCGTAGACTGAGTGGTGCTCGAGAGTCACAAACATGAGAGAGCCAGGCAGGCTTTAGACCAGGAAGAGGGTGTATTGATCATATCTTCACCCTCCGACAGATTCTAGAACATAGGAATTCCTACCGGCGTCCAACAGTCATTATATTTCTTGACCTAAAGGCAGAATTCGACTCTGTCGATGGAGAAGTTCTCTGGAGATGCTTGGCTGTAAAGGGAATTCCGAGAAAATACATTGCACTGATCAACGCACTCTACTCAAACTTATGCAGCCAGCCAGGTGAGCGCTTACGGGGAGTTGTCATCTGAAGTGATGACGACTAGTGGTGTCCGTCAAGGATGCCCATTATCTCCTTTTCTATTCAACTTCATCATAGATGTGTTAATGGACTTAACCCTAAGTGACTTCAGCGACTCAGGGATTGACTTGCTACCGGGGAATAATCTCGTTGACTTGGAATATGCAGATGATATAGTCCTACTAGGCGAAGACGCTGACGAAATGTAGAGTCTTCTAAACGCCTTGAGCCGCAATCTACGAATGTTTGGCATGCGATTCGCTCCCGCCAAATGCAAGATGATGTTACACGACTGGACTATATCGACGCCTAGTTTAAAAATAGGAAGTGAAGTGGTAGAGCACGTTGACCGCTTCACTTATTTGAGAAGTACCATCAGCCCCAACGGGCTGATCTCTGACGAAATCTCAGCACGAATACAGGGGGCTCGTTTCGCATTTTCCAGTTTACGCCGACTCTGGCGTAGACGAGATGTTTGACTATCGACCAAAGGGCGTGTGTACTGCTCATCAGTCGGCTCCGTCCTCCTTTATGGTTGTGAGACCTGGCCACTCAGAGTGGAAGACATGAAAAGACTAGCTGTGTTTGATCATAGGTGCCTGCGTTCTATTTCCCGTGTAAAGTGGCATAATAAGGTGAGCAACATGGAGGTTAGGCGTCGAGTTCTAGGTAAACAGGGGAAATCAATCGACGAAGTCGTGAAGCTACAAAGACTGAGATGGTTAGGACATGTGTTACGTATGCCAAGCCATCGCCTCCCTCGACGAGCAATGTTAGCGGATATAGGGTCAGGCTGGAAAAAAGCTAGCGGCGGTCAAACAAAAACTTGGCATCAGTCAATGAAATCCACAACAGTTGGTCTAAGCCACGTAGGAAGGTGTAGACTTCCAGGCTGGGGTCCTCGGGACGGTAAAAATCTATGGTTGGAAACAATTGGTGACATGGCTCAAAAGCGTTCTCAGTGGCGCAGATGCATCCACTCCCTGTGACTTATGATCTTCAATGAAACTGTTTTGTTCTTCGTTATTACTTTTCCTTTGTCTCACACCTCTGCTCACTGTTTCTATTATGCTTTTCTTGTACTTTCTTCTCTTGCTTCGCGTGCTACACGGAATGTGGCGACTTGAACTTCCGCACATTTGTGCAAAGTTCTATGTCGAAAACAGACAGACAGACAGACGGAGTCGAAGGCCGCCTTCAAGTCAAGAAATATGACAATTGTTGGACGCCGAAAAGTGTGTTTATGTTCTAGAATCTGTCGAAGAGTGAAGATATGATCTATGCACCCTCTACCTGGTCTAAAGCCTGCTTGATTTTCCCTTGTCTGTTCCTCCCGAGTTCTGCTTAGTCTATGCATGATTACTGAGCCTAGGATTTTAGAGACTATGTTCGTTAGGCTGATCCCCCTATGATTATCACACGAGGACTTGTTTCCCTTCTTGAATATCGGTATAATAAGTGACTTACCCCAGTCTGATGGAACTGTCTCTGATTCCCAGACTTTGCCTAGTACCTCAGTTAATCTACAAACTAGTATGTCACCCCCATATTTAAACACCTCCGGAATAATTCCGTCGGGTCCTGCCGCTTTGCCTCGTTTCAAATTACTGATAGCTTTTGTAACCTCACTTACAGACGGCGGACCAGTGTCTATATCCCATTCGGGTGTGTGCTGGATGTCGGGGAGGCAAGTTAAATTGTTCCTCAAAGTGTTCTTTCCAGCGTTCAAGGCGTCTATCCTGAGAGCTAATTAAGGAGCCATTTTTCTCAGAAATAGTCTCACTTATGATTTGCCTTCTCCCTCCCGTTTCCCTGATGAGTCTAAAGAGTTGCCTAGTGTTGCCTATCGCCGATGCTTTTTCCATCTCTTTCGCCTTTGTCACCCACCACTGTTCACGGTCCTTGCGGAGACTTTTAGTAAGTTTCCTTTTGTGCAGCTTTCGCTCCTCATTGAATTCGGAGCTCGCCGGAATAAGTCTTCTAGCATCTATCAGTTCGGATGAGGCAGTCGAAATCCAGTGGTTTTTACTCACCTTTGGATTTAACTTATTCACAGCTTTTACAGCTGTATCTATGGCTGACTGAATATTCTTCCAGGCTTCTCCAGGGTGAGCACAGCTGTCGAACTCAGATATGTGTTTAGCTAGTTCTTCCTCAAATAGGGATTTAGTTTCCTGATCGAGCTGGGGACGTGATGGTTTTACCGCCAGCTGTTTCCTACGTCCGTTCAGTCGTAAGCACACCCGAGCGCGGACCAGTGCGTGATCGGTATCTACACACGTGTTCCAGAAGGAGCGACAATCTCCTACCGACCCACGCCAACGATAGCTTATTGCTATGTGGTCTATTTGTGTCCAGCGTTGGTTTGATGATGGGGGTCGCCAGGTCAAACAGTGTCTCTCCTTGTGTTTAAAGTTAGTGCTTACAAGAAACAAATGATTATCTGAACAGAACTGTAGGAGACGGTCACCGTTGTCGGTTCGCTGGCACGGAACTCCATAGGTGCCACCGACATCCTTCTCAGATTGACACAATTTCCCTACTTGAGCATTAAAGTCACCAGCTAGAACGACTATATCTGAGCGTTTAGCCTTTCTCACCAAACTAGACAGCTTTTGGTAGAACTCATCCTTCGTTTCATCCGAACTGCAGTCAGTGGGGGCGTAGGCGGAGATTACGAAAAGGCATCGGCGAGTAGTGCAGTCCTTTCTCCTTCTTACTGATCCGTTCAGACGGACAGCACACATTCGGCTATCTACCGGGATCCAGTCAAGTAATGTCTTTTCTGCCCTAGTACTCAAAGCTATCCCTACGCCAGCTAATCCTCGTGAACTAGCTGTGGCATCTCCTGACACCCTCAAGGTGAATTTTGAAGATTCATCCTGTTGGCCAGGTGGGGTTAGGTGAATAACCACACTTGGGTCTTGTATGCGTGTTTCTGAAACACAACATACATCAATGGCTCGGGATGCCAGGGTCTTAGCTAGTGATGCTTGTTGTCCTATTTGGCAAAGTGTCCTAACATTAAATGCTCCTATATGAAATTGGTGGCGTGGCTTTAGGAGACTATCGGTGGTGGTTTTTTGGCTTCCGTCGTTTTTAGTGGACACAGAGTGAAGAGGGAGTGAGGAGCCATCAAGTAGAGGAGTTGCATCAGTGGGAGGAAGGCAAGGTAATAGAGATGAAGATGAAGACAAAGATAAGTGAGGATTAGAGAGGTTTTGTGTGCATTTCGGATTGTGAGGGCGTTTGTTACTTCCCGGCTGCCCACACCGTGGAAGTTGGTTGCGTGACCGCAGAGCCCAGGGGACAACTGCTTGAGGCCGGTCACACGCGGCCTGTTTTTGTTTGTTCTTTATTCTTTGGTGTGTCTCAGTAGCATACTTATCACTCCTGCCCTGTGACACGGCAGCAGGAGACGCGGTCGTTGTTAATCTGGGCCACGGCCGATCCGGCATGAAATTTTGTGAATTTGTTTGAATCATGGTATTGGATTGGGTAGCTGCTTTTTGTTTAACCGCTATCCAAACAACCTGCCTTGCATGGTAGGACCTCAAGAGACATAAGTCTCAGCCAGTATAGCTTGAATAGAGCATTGTGGTGTTCAAGCCCGACCACCACGTCAAGGTAGCAGCTTTAGGTCAGCACTGTATTTCTGTTGCACTCTGTTCTGCTAAGTCCATAATCTCTCACTTCTTTGCCTAATCTCCATATCACCCTCTAACACACACACCCTTCCCTAGGGCTTGACACATGAGGTTGCTCAACGGTCTCCTGACTGATTGTCTGTTCAATCCATCTCCATTTCCTTTTTCATATTTGCTTGTTGGATAATAGATTCTTGATTAGTTCGTCCCCAGAGTTCCTTGACGCTTATCCTATTTGACCAGCCGTCTGGTCTTCAGTATGGAGCAAAGACAGCTGTTGATAAAAGTCTGAAGCCTGTTTCAAATGCCCTTTGGTCATATGCCAAGTCTCTGAACTATTCATTCAGAAGATAAGACTTGCCATTAGTGTTTTAAATTTCATTATACTATTCTTAATTTAGATTGTAAGTCAATTTATATGTAACTGTGATGCAAGTTTAAAACAGTGAGTGAGTTATGAGTTCAAAAGCCTTTTTACAGAGTGAAGTTTAACCAGCGGAATGGTGTAATTAAGCCTCGTTTAATTGGTCTGGTTCATTGTCCAAGGCAAAATACCTGATGTTTATGTGAATGAAGCTTTTTGTAACACGATTCTCCTTCTTCTTCTAGCTTTCAGATTCAATGGATTCAGAAATAATGAATTCCAGTAGTGGTAGTGGTACAACAGGCTCAAAATCATGGGGAAAAGCTGCTTCCTCAAAATTATCCAACTCTAGCAACAACAATAATAATAGCATGACAACTGGAGCCAATTCTACACTGGCAGCTGTTGCTGCTTCATTAGCAAATGATAGTCCAACAGGATCTATCAGTACGAATAGTCTATTCGATTCAAACAAGCGTCGAGTTGGTCCATCTTCTAGTCAATTATATCTGGTACGAACTATGCTAGAGTTATTGGTTGAACAAGTTTCATCAAGTAAACAAATGATGCGAAAAGAATTGGATGCTTCAACACTCTCAGCGATAGATACATTTTTAAAGCATAGTTTTTATTGGCCATATCTGTTAAACTTTAGTGGTAAGTTCACTTCATTTTGCTTTCTTACTTTCCGTAAATTCTCTATTTAAGTTTACTTCTGTTATCTATTATTTATCTCAAAGATGTCTATTGCGTGTTTCTCACGTAGCTATCGAATGAGCAACCGTTATTCTCTTTGGTTGCAGTTATTTGTATATTCAAGTGTCGGTTTGTAGGGATTTGGTTGATTGGTTACAGGATTTCATCATGAGCTCACACTGGTTAGAGAACCACTGGAAAACCTGGAAGTACTGGACAGCTGTTTCCTCCTAGTTTGGGACTCTTCATGAGTACGCACCTACCACAGGGGTTCGAACCT